TGTCCGGTGTCGTGAGAGAGGTCTGGCTGCACTGATTGGGAAGATATTAATTGGTCAACAGCTCTAGAGGTGGCTCCGAATGGTCTGGTCTATGGGAGCGGCGCGGGGCGCGGGGCGGGGCGGGGCGTGGGTGCGAGATGATGAACTACTGGCGGTCTCTCTAACAATCAAATAACAATTTGTATGCAACGCGTAAATTACCCACTCCATCCATACCACCATGAGCGCGGGCGCGTGTGTCTGTGTGACTACTGTGTGTGTGCGTGTGTGTGTGTGTGTGTTGTGATCATGTGTCTAGGAAAATGAACATTAATGTGTAATTTATCTCTTTTATCGTCGGCCTGATTGAATATATAGAGCGTGACGCGCCAAGTCACCCCTCTATTAAACAACTATACCACTTACACTGCAAGCGAAACAAAAATTAATCAGTACCGTGTAATTAAATAAACACTTGTGGCGTTCCCTCTGCTGATAATCGCAACAGCAATACCACAAAAAAATTGTGGCTCTTCGCTTTGGGTGGACGTCGGTGACGTCATGTCAAAGTCATGAAGTCATGGAGCCACAAATCATACAACTCACTCCCAGTCACTCCTCATGGCGTGCGCGCCTTTGCACGTGTCGCGCGGGATTGTGAAAAGGTCGTTACTGGAATTAATAGCACCCCCGTCCCCTCCTCCTCTCCGCTTCACACCACACCCGCCCCGCCCCGCCGCGCCGCGCCCCTAACCATGCAGGCCGTCCAAAACATCGACACACACACACACACACACACACACACACACACACACACATTCGCGGTGCAGTGCGTCAGGCCGCCAGGCGGCCGCCGCCGCCACCGGACCCCCCGCCGAGCGCGCGCCAATATGAATCTGAATGTGCTAATTGAGTGTCACCGAGCCGTAATGTGACAACCCCCACATTGCTATTCGCTTCCGCGGTGCGCGCGGCGGAGGTGAGCTATGGGCTCATCATCGTCTGGCTCCTCCTCCCTCCTCCTACTACGGGGGCTCCCCGCGGAGCACCACAAGGGAGCGTCGTCGAGCGTGTGGCGTCGTGTGGCCACTGCAGGGCCTCGTGTGACGACGAGCATGACGAGGCGCTCGAGGAGGCCGCCGATGAGGACCTGCTTTGCTCGCTAGGGTCCGCGCGGGACCGGCACGCCCGCGGCACCGCGCGATCCTCCAGTCAGCGACGCGAGAGGAGGAATCCGACCCAATTAATCGAGGCACGACACGGTTATACTGCGTGTGTACTCGCGCACTCGCTCCCCGGGGGAGAGGCGGGCGGGGGGCGTGGACGCGGAACTCCTCTTGCGCGACTCCTTGACGCCGAGGTGGGGGTGATGTGATGGTGTGGGTGCTGCTGGTATTTGCTCTCGCGGGCCCCCAAGTCACGTTCCCAAAAAGCAGTGTCATTCAGCGGCAGGGCCATACCACCACCACCGCGTCGTGCTCGCGGAGGGATCGCAGCGCCGCCGCCGCCGCCAGCGCCACCCCGGGCATTTCAACGCTGATGGAGCAGAGTATGGCGCGCCGGCGGCGCCTCGACTGCGCGAGTCAATCAGAGCGCGATAAAAACCGTTTTCAAGAGCACCTCGATACAGAGCGTCTGTCACCGGCCGATCCAGATCCACCCGTCGCAGAGCGCCGCGTTTAGTGACTCAGCGATCGCGGTTAGGAACGGACCCGCCCGCCCGCCTGTCCGCCCACGCCCACAGTCCGTGCGCCCGCCGCGGACCTTCCGCCGGCCGCCCGCGCTGCCCCGGGCCTAGCCCAACGGCACTGCAGTGAGTAGTACTGCAGCACAGGAGCCCCCCCGCGATGCGGTGGCCTTCGTCCTGTCTGGGTTTAAATCGGTGGGAATGTAGTCGTTGATGGCATTCTAATCGTCGCGCCTGGATTATCATCTGCACTATGCATTCGCCCGAGGCAGGTCAATAATTTCAAAAACTTCCGACCGGATGTACGAAGAGGCGGTAGTATCGTGCTCCAAGCCTCGGCGCCCTGCTGTCTCGCGCCCCGCCACCTGCCTCCCGCACCCGCTGCACCGATATCACATCCCCGCGCGCGGGTGGTTTTGCTATTCCAGGCGCATTCCCCAGCCGCCACTAAACTTGGCCGCACAAGCTCCCAAGGTCCCAAGCGTGATAAGATAAACATTGTCAGGATTTTACTACCTTAAAAAAGCCCCCCGATCTCTGCTGCAAGCTGCTGCCAAGGCGAGCCCCGCACTATCCTCTTCCCCCGAGCACCCCCCGCTCCACCCGACGTGGAATGCCAATCATCAATCATCTTATCTTGACTACCCGCATAGCTTTTCAAAATCTGGCGTCGGGCCGCGCCGTCGCGCGGGGGGTTTGGTCGGACAAACGCAAGTCTCTCTGTCACGTCCTCTCTCCCGCCCCTCCGCAGCATAACGCGGACAGAGCCAGAAGTGCAGCGAGCACGTCATCCTAGCCGCTCACTCGCGGTGGTCGCGGCGGTCATACCTATTGGACAGTGTCACTGACTGCCTGCGGCCCGAAGTGCCCCACCCCGCCGCCCCGCCCCGCCCCGTGTCGGCTACGCGGACGCCAACCAACCGGACCGCAAAATCTTTGGCATGCGCGAAGCACGCGCTCCGTCCGCCGCGCTCTTGCTCATACTCGCTCCGCGCGCGCGCGCGCGCTCCGCCTCAGCGCGTCACAGGGGGATTGTTTGTCGCCGATAATGGGCGCTAGAATGCTAGAATGCACGGTGAGTGTGTGTGCGCTGAGCGCGCGCGCGCGCGCCCGTGTGTGTGTCAGGCGTATGCCCCC